AATTCGCTGGAATTCTTCCACCCTTGTGCCTCACAAGCGAACGAGTATAAATTCCTTGTGGGCATACTTCACGTACGCATATTGTGCCAAAGGCCTGCTTCGAAACCTTCTTACTGTGCGCTCACGCGCACTTGTTTAAGCGCACACGATACTGATACAAAACAGAAAAATTATGTACTTCTACCCTCCACCTCCCCCCCCCTTATACGAAAACAAACCCTTTTAGGCATAGTTGACCCCGCCTGTTTGGTGCATGTGATGTGTGTCCTGTGTTGTGCCAGACGCCACTAACACGCACTTTTCTCCTTTGTGCAGCATGGCTGCCTCATTGTGAAGTACGTACACCCAGGTCTTTAAGTCACCTTCACAGAACCAGACTTTCTGCCTGTCTCTCAGTCTAGTTTGCACTTTTATCGGGCTTGCATCGTTGTGGCTACTACTTAGCCTTTTTGACAATTATTGACTAGCAAGACCTACTTGGAGCATTGAAAATTGCGAACTCCTAGACTAGGTTAACCTCCAGGGTACATTTACTTATCCCGCACTCATTCATGCCTACAAGTAATCTAAAATTATATGTGAGTAAGATAACTGAATGAACGAGCGTTCAACAAACAGTAAGATATATTTTTTGCGTGCGGGGGAGGGCGAGTATAGGTACGACGTTCCAGTTGGAGGTGTTAAGTTGGGTTTTTCTAGATCAGTTTTGCGTATTTTTGGTTAAAAAAGGATATCTGTGACCGATTTTTTTCTTTAACAACAACGTGATTTAATCTTTTAGGATTGCTGAGGCCTTGATTGCCAATCAGGAAGCCAACCGACTACCAGACTATTCTGAGCTGGAACAGAAGTCGACGTCCGTTCGAACGTCGCCTCCCTTTTCTGACCATATGGACCTGCACGGTGAGCACGACGTCCCCTCCTACCGCCATGAGGATTTGCCCCTCATTAAAGGCCGCAAACGGGCCGACTCCATGGACGGCCACATCCTCAGGTCCCTGATCTCTCGCAGGCCTGAAGGTAGTCCAAAAAGTAGTCTTTCGGTGTCACCGGTAGA